AAAAAATTTTTTTTATTTTATTTTTTATTACTTTGTGTGCGTGTACCGTCAAATTAGATCTGACTGGTACAGGAGGATATTGCGCCTCCTTCTCTGGCAGAGCATCTGGTGGATTTGAACCGTGTTCCTCTGGGATTGCAGTGCAGCTTCTTGCCACTAGGCCACCAGAGCTCCCTAAAATAAAAAAATTTTAAAAAAAGAAGTGGAAGACTTGATATGCTGGCTGAACAAGATGAAAGGGTACAGTCTTCATATGGTTTACATTTTGATATCAAAAAGATAATCTTTATCACTTGGCTGATAGGCAACATCATGACAGATGGAGAAAAGATTGAAATTGCAAATTATTTAATCTTACTTGGATCCACAACTCCTTGGCACCAATGGTCAAGAAATCAATGGATGTATTGCATTGGTTAAATCTACTGTCAAAGACCTCTCAAAGTGTTAAGGAGGAGTCATATCTGTTTAAAGACTAAAGCACACCCCAGCAACAATAGCAGAGTTCAACAAGGCAGCAAACAACAAATGCTGGTGAGGTTATGGAGAGATTGGAACTCTTATTCACAGCTAGTGGGAATGTAAAATGGCATAGTCACTATCGAAAGTGTATGGTTGGAAGTTGGAAATAGAAATACAATTTGATCCAGAAATTCCACTACTGGGAATTTACCTTAAAGAAACCAGAGCCATGACTCAAGCAGATGTTTAAGCCATATTTATTGCTGCATTATTCACAATAGCAAGAGATGGAAGCAACTTATGTGCCTTTCAACAAATGAATGGACAGAAAAATTATGGCACATTCACATAGTGGAATATTACATAGCATTGAAAAGTAATGAATTTATAAAACATTACACAGTATGAGAGAGCTTTGAAGACATTATGGTGAATGAAATATCTGTCACAAAATGACAAATACTACTCAACACCATTGTTATAGAATAGGACAAATATGGGGGAGTTGAGGAGAGAATGAGAAAAATGCATGCAGATAATGAATGCTACATTAGAATAGATGAGGGGAAGAACTATCGAAAAGCAATATATGATTAGGCCTTACATGTATGAAAACACTCTGGAACAAAGAGTGCATTGTGGAGTAGGGTGGTGGCTTGGAGGGCAGGGGGAAGAAAATGTTCAACAATGAAAAAAATTAAATATTATTTTTTAAAAAGACTCAAGTGCATCTGATTCAAGTCCTGGTCTTTTCAATTACTTTTTATGCATCTGAGAGCTGGAAAATTAATAAGAATGACAGGAGAAGAATTGATACTTTTGAGTTGTGTTGTTGAAGAGTACTGACTATTCCACAGACTGCCAGAATAACAAACAAATAACCTTGGGCAAAGTGTAGCCAGGCTGTTCCTTAGAGGCAAGGACGGTGACGTTTTATTTCACATATTTTGGGCATGTTGTCAAGAAGAGCTGGTCTTTGGAAAAAATAATCAAGCTTAAAATGGCAGAGGGTCAGTGAAAGAAGGAAGACCCTCAACAAGATCTATTGATACAATGACTGTAACGATGGCTCAAGTATAACAGAGATGATGAGGATGGCATTGGATAGGCAAGGTTCAGATCCATTGTTCATAGTGTCACCCTGAGTCATAGTTGACTTGACAGTACCTCGCAACAACTGCTTGTCTGTCAGTGTGTAACACACGGGCTTGCATGTTGTATGATACTGGAAACTATGCTACTAGTGTTTCAAATATCAGAAGGGTCACCCATGTTTGACAGGTATTCACAGAGCTTTCTCACTAAGACGGACCGAAAAGGACCAGTTAATCCACTTACTTAAAAAGAAAAAGAAAGAAAAGAAAAGGCAGAGGAACACCATGTGATATAGAACCAGAAGAAGAGCCCATCAAATTATCAAATTGGAAGGCACATAAAAGATGGTGGGGAAATATTGCCTCCGCAGAGTCGACCCTAATTACATGGCCAAAGTAAAACTTTTGAGATCTTCATTTGCTTATGTGGAATAATTCAAAATTAGAAAAAAAAAGCTGCAAACCATTAATCAGAATGTGGAATATACAATGCATGAGTCTATAAAAATTGAAAGATGTATACATAAAGATCAATACCCTAGGCACTGTCATTGTTGTTTTAAGTGCTATAGAATCATGACACTCTGTGGATCCGGGTCTTCCCGGAGTCGGTTTGCTTGGGAATGCAGTCCAAAGCGGGTGGTAAACTCCATTTAAGGCTAAATACTGGCCTGAAAATCGTGGCACTATGAGGAACAGGTCAAAACCTTGCCCTATCCTTCACCATCTCCACCCTGCTCTACCTGCTGCCACCGTGGGTGTTGACTGTGAATGCAAGTAAAATGAAATCATTGACAACTTCGATTTTTTTCTCTATCATGTTGTTGCCTATTAGTGCAGTAGTGAGGAATTTTGTTTTCTGGATTGTTGCGAGATAATCCACATCTTTGATCTTCACTAAGTGCTTCAAGTCTTCCTTATCTCCTGGAAACAAGGTTGTTGATGAGTTTTCTTCAAATTCTGATGCCATATTCTTCTTCATATAATCCAGCTCAAGTTATTTACTCAGCATAGAAATTGAATAGGTATGGAGAAAGAATACAACTCTGACACAAACTTTTCCTGATTTTAAGCCATGTTCTGTTTGAATGACGACTTCTGGGTTTATAAGCATATTTTGCATGAGTAAAGTTAAGTGTTCTGGAACTTCCATTCTTCTTAATTCTATAATTTACTATGATTTACACAGCAGAAGGCCTTTGCATAGACAATAAAACACAGCAAACATCTTTCTGGTGGTCTTTGCTTTCAGCCAAAATCCATCTGGCACCAGCAATGTCTTTTCCACAACTTGCTTCAAAATCCAGCTAGAATTTCTACATTTAAAAACCATTTCAAGAATAGATTTGATGCATTGAACATTAATGACCAAAGACCAGAAGAATTGTGGATGATATTGAGGACGTTGTTGTTGTTCCACAACCAACACTCTTGGCACAAGAAATCAGGAAATAAAAAAAAGAAAGAAATCAGAAAATCAGAAGATTAATAGCATTTTGAAAATCTGTGTCAGGGATGCTCCAGAGTGCTGAAGAGGAATTACGTCAGTCTAGAAACTAAGGTGCATCTAATCCAGGCCATTATCTTGTTATGCATCAGAGAGTTGGACAAGACTAAGGATGACAGAAGAAGAATTGATGCCTTAGATTTGTGGTGCTTGAGAAGAGTGTCGAATATAGCATGGCCTGCCAAGAGAACAAACAGATTTGTCCTGGAGAGGGTGAAACCAGGTTGCTCCTTGGAGGTAAGGAATTTGAAGCTCCATTCCACACTCTCTGGGCACGTGACCAGTAGGGACCAGTTCTTGGAGAAGGACATCATGCTTGGAAGGGTGGAGGGTCAACCAAGGAAAGGAAGACGCTGGATGAGATGGATTGACACAGTAACTGTGGCAATAGAAGCAAAAGGTAAGAGATGATGAGGTTGTCTCAGGATAGGGCAGGGTTTAGAGCTATTGTTCATAGGGTCAATAGGAGTAGTAGTCAATATAATGGCACATAACAACAACAACAACACCACACCATGTTTTGTACATGTACTTGGTGTTTTATACAATCATTGGTATTCATTATACTTTATATACTTAATTACCATCGCTCTATGCCTGTTATTACTCTGTCCTTTCAAGACTCCATTAAACCTTTCAGATTACTTAACCCCCCCAACCATTAACTTCTATCCCACTGATTTCCCCCTTCTACCTTCGCTGCTCACCATCTCCTCTCTCCATTTTGCATTATATCTTACTCAGTTTTCTTCCTATTTTCACAATGCAGTATTTATCTTTATGTGACAGAGATATTTCACTCAGTAAAATGCTCTCCAATCTCTCTCAAATTATATATAGTATTTTACAAAATTGTTGCTTCTTAGTATTCCATTGAATGTATGTACCACAATTTCTCAGTCTGTTCATTTTGTTAACGGGCATTTGGGCTGCTTCCATTTTCTTGCTTTTGTGAATAATGCTATGAACACAGGTGTACCCATGCCCATTCATGTCTCAATTCTGATTTCCATACATAAGGAAATGTTCAACATCACTAGGAATCAGATAATGCAAATCAAACCAACGAGATACCACCTCACTCCAGGAGCTGTAGCAAAGTTCAACAAAACAGCAACTAATAAATTTTCGAGAGTATACAGAGAGAGTGGAACTCTTACACACGGCCAGTGGAATGGTAAAGTGCTACTACTGTGGAAGGCTGTATGGCGTTTCATCAAAAAACTGAACATAGAAATTCCATATGACCCAGCTATTCACCTGCTAGGAATAATTAGATCTTTTTAAAATCACTTGTTATTATTATTATTATTGATAATTTTAATGAACATTTACAGAGATTTTGGATTTCCATTCATTCTTTGTTGCACTTTTCTCCTTGCCCACCGCTCCCCTCCAGTTCCTTCTTCTCTTTGAAAAGTAAAAGAAGAATTCTTTCATTGTTATACAATCCCTCCCGCCAAGTCCACTCCACTATGCAGCCTTCGTTCTGGGCTCTTGTCATGACAATAATACCAAATCATATATCCCTTTTAAACAGTTCTCTCTCTCATCTGTTTCAATGCAGTAAATTATATATACTGCATTTGGAATAATTAGATCTTAAGAGTAAGTATCTGTTTAAAAAAAAAAAAAAGTAAGTATCTGTTTAACAACCACAGTGCCTAGAGGAGCAGTTCAGTCTTTCTCTGGCCAGAGGCGGGGAGAGAGGGGTTTAGGGCAGGTCTCCATGTGGCGCTGTAGTTGCCCGCCGGCCACAGGGTGGCGCTGGAGTGCGACCAGAGGAGGGTCGAAGACTTATGACGTATGGCCGTGCGACCCGGTGCAAGCGCGCAGTCCGTTCACTGTCGCATGCAGTAAGGGGTCTTTGCTGCGGGCACGATGGTTTCACCCGTACAACTCCCGCCCGAGATCCAGTTGGCACAGCGCCTGGCGGGCAACGAGAAGGTGACCCGGGACCGGGCGGTGAAGAAACTCCGGAAATACATCATTGCCAGGACTCAGCGGGCCGCAGGTTAGCGTGGAGATGGCGTGGGTGGCGTGTGTTGAATCTCCTCTGGGTCACAGGCGGCCGATCCGGCGCGTGCGGTCCCACTGATCCAGGCCTGAGAGCCTCCGAACGGCGTAGACCTTCACATGCAGGGACCATGTCAGTGGGACTTACGAGTCCGCCTTTCTGCCGGCTGGGTCCTGCCCGCGCTCTACTCCTTGTGCAGCAGACATTTGGCTCTGCTTGTGATCCCCACACCCAGCAAGCTCCTCTGCACCCTCAGCTAATAAGGAATTCAGATCAGGCTTCCTTCCCTCTGCGAAGCCACTCCTTCCTTCATAGATTATATATACCGAGCTGTCAACTTCTGGGTATTCTAGTTTCCCCCCTCATATCAAGATTCATCACTGTCGTTTTCTATGTGGGTAATTACTGTATTGCTTCCTGATTTTCACTCCTGCTTCATGAGGCAGAGAATGTGTTTCCCGTTAACTGTACCTGTGCTGCCCAGTGCTTCTCATAGTGTAAGACCTGCATCTTCAACATCACTAGGACATTTGTTCCCCATTCATTGCCCATTGCTCCTGAGAAGTTGATTCCAGCTCCTAGGAAGTATATGGGTTAAAGTAGAACTGCCTCACGGGATTTTCGCATCGAGAAAACAAAGATTCTTACTACTGGGCCAATAGGCAGCATCATGATAGACGGAGAAGAGACTGAGATTATTAACAGCTTCAGTTTGCTTGACTCCACAGTCAACACTCTTGGTACCAGCAGCCAAGAAATCAGAAGATGAATTGCATTGGAAAGTCTGCTGTCAAGGACCTCTCCAGAGTACTGAAGGGTAACGATGTCAGTCTGGAGACTAAATGCGCCTGATCCAGGCCATGGTCTTCACAAATTACTTAATATGCATTAGAAAGCTGGACAGTGACTAAGGATGATAGAAGAATTGATGCCTTTTGCTGTGGTGCTGGAGAAGAGTATTGAATAGACCATGGACTGCCAGGAGAACAAACAGGTTCAACGTTGAGAGGGTGAAACCAGGCTGCTCCTTGGAGGCAAAGATTTTGAAGCTCAGTCAGACACTCTGAGCATCTTGCAAAGAGGGACCAGTCCTTGGAGAGGGACGTCATGCTTGGAAGGGTGGAGAGACAGAGCGAAAGAGGAAGATCCTGGATGAGATGGATTGAATCAGTAACTGGGGTAATAGGGGTAGATGTGCCAGAGACAATTAAAGTTGGCACAGGATAGAGCAGGGTTCAGAGCTGTTGTACATAGGGTCACTATAAGTCACAGGTGACTTCTTGTCACATAACGACAACAGTCTTTATGAAGGGTGGCCTAAGTAATCATGAGCAAGGAGTTGCGCTGTCAACCAAATGGCAGGCAATTGAAATCTATGAGGTGCTCAGAGAGAGAGAGAGAGAAGGATTGGAGGCAGTCTTCTCCTGTGCATTGTACACCATAGGAAAGCTCTTTAGAGGGTCAATGATAAGTCTATTCCAACTTGACAGGACAAAGCAAAAACAACAACAATCTTTATGAAGCAGATGACTGGTGGATTTGAACCAGACCTTTGGGTTCTCAAACAAGCTTTTAATCACTGCACCACAAGGGCACATTATAGGGCCTCTAAATATTTGTCCAGAGAGCTCTAGTGGCACAATCTGATTAGCATACACCAGTGGCTCTGGGAGATTTACTGGCTCCTCCTATGCAATTTACAGTCTCAAAAACTCAGTGAGGGTTAACTATGACTTGTAATCAACTTGATGGCAGTGACTTTTGAGTTTTTTTAAAATGTTTATTTCACTGGTGAAAAAATTCTCAACTTCCATGTTGGAGACTTGGGTTTGATTTCCAGGCTATGCACCACCCCTCTGTTAGAAAAGGTCTGCGTGTTACTACAGAGGTGAACAGGTTGCACTGGAATATCCTGACTAAGACTGACTACGAAGAAATGCCTGACAACTTATTTTTCAGAATAAGTCACTGAAGACTCTGATCATGGACATAGTGTAGAACTGGGTGGCATTTTGTTCTCTTTGACATAGAGTTGCCAGGAATTATATGACAGTTAACAAGAAATATTTGTGAAATGACTAATTTTTATATATCTCAGCATCAAGAAAACAAAAATTCTTACCTCTGGGCCAATTGGAAGCATTATGATATAGTGAAGAGATTGAGATTGTTAATAGCTTTAGTTTCCTTGGCACTACAATCAACTCTCATGGTACCAGCAGCCAGAAAATCAAAAGATGAATTGCATTGGGAAAGTCAGATGTTGGGGACCTCTCCAGAGTACGGAAGAGCAATGATGTCAGTCTAGAGACTAAGGTTCACCTGACCCAGGCCATAGTCTTACTTGCTATACATCAGAGAGCTGGACAATGATTAGGGATGATAGAGAGTTCACAAGCTTTGGTGGCCTAGTGGAAAGAAACTGCATTGCAATCCCAGAGGTGTGCAGTTCAAATCCACCAGAGCTCTGCTGGAGAAGGAGGAACAATTACCTCCTGTATCAGTCAGATTCAATTTGATGGTACATACACACAAATAAAAAATATTTTTAAAAAGGAAAAAAAATAGAGTTGATGCCTTTGAGCTGTGGTGCTGGAGAAGAGTATTGAATATACCATGGACTGCTAGGAGAACAAACAGGCTTGTCCTGGAGAGGGTGAAATCAGGCTGCTCCTTAGAGGCAAGAATTCTGATGCTTTGTCTGACATACTTTGTGCATGTTGTAAGGAGGGACCAGTCCTTGGAGAGGGACATCATGCTTAGAAGGGTAGAAGGACAGTGCAAGAGAGGAAGATCCTGGATGAGACGGATTGATTCAGTGACGGGGGTAATGAAGGTAGATGTGTCAGAGACAATAAGGTTGACATAGGATAGAGCAAGTTTCAGGGCTATTGTACATAGGGTTGCTATGAGTCACAAGTGACTTTGACATTAACAACAATACTTTGGGCATGTTGCTAGGAGAGGCTTTGTCTTGGTAAGGGACATTGTGCTTGGAAAGGTGCAGGGACAGCAAAAGAAAGGAAACCCTCAGCCAGGTTGACAGAGTGACTGCAGTAGTGGACTTGAGTATGTCAGAGATTGGAAGATGCTACAGGATAGGACAGGATTCAGATCTCTTGTTCCTAAGATCTCTAGGAATTGTACTTGACAGCATCTAACAACCACCACCACCCACCGTAAGCCTGAATGAGTGAGTTAATGTCTGAGATATTTACATTAAAATGTTTACAAGCTTAAGTATAAAGCTGGATGAATTAGCACCATTAGACTGATTCACTTTTGAATCTCCAAAATGGAATCCTGAGCGTACTGCTTTGCTGAGTCTCAGGGCATATTCACTGAATGAACAAAGTAACGTTTCCTTGGAGGAGTCCTTGTGCTTGCTTATAGGCTCAGTAGACCTCCACCAGGATTTCTTGAGCTGGAAGGGTAGCCTGTGTGCTCTGCATGGAAATTTACAGTAATGAGGCTTTGGTCTAATTCAGGCAGCCCTATTTTCCTGGCTTCACTTGTGCAATGAAAATTTGGTTTAGTCTGTTTTTTGCTGTTTGTGCTGCAGGTAGTTTTACACATGATGAGCTGCTGAAAATATGGAAGGGACTCTTCTACTGCATGTGGATGCAGGACAAGCCATTGCTCCAGGTGAGTGCATGAGAAGTTGGAGAAGATGTTCCAGAGCAGGTATATCAGTCAAGGGACAGGTTGATGGGAGCTGACTCAGACTTTGATGTAGGCAAGGATGCTGGATGAGTGTTACAGCTTCAGTGCTTTGTTCTTTCTGGCTGGAGGGGTCCGGGGCCTTTGGTTTGAGTGGATGTGACTCTTGCTGGGATTTTGACATCTTTGCAGAGTCGGGCACCACAGCACCTTGTGGTAGGTGGTGCATGTTAGGATACTGGTGAAAACATGGGCTGTTTGTGTTTTGTATTTGTCAGGGTCACAAGCTGAGCACTGAAATACCAGAAGCCAAAGGGCTAGAAGCCTTTACTTCCGAGACAGAATTTCTCCTGCTATGCTTTTTAAATTAATATTTCTGAAAGTATTAATTGCTACTTATGCACCAAAATCACCTGGGTAGTAAAAGTACTTATTTTAAATGTAGATTTCTGGACTTTGTTCTATACTGCCTAAACTAAAAGCTGTCTGGGAGAGGCTCTGGAATCTTCTATCTTAGCATATTTCTAAGGTGATGCTGGCCACAGGGACACAGACGGTCAGGCTGAGTGGGTGACGCTCTGTGTGCCCCTCCTGCTGCTGCTCAGGGGCTGAGCTCCTGGGCTCACTGCCGCTGCTGCTCCTCGCCTTCCTATCCCACCAGCCTCTGTGCTCAAGGCACAGCATCAGTCCTAGGGCAGGGGCCACAGTGGCTTGTAGAAATTCTTTTCACCTGTGCTGTAGGAGGAGTAGGTCTGTCATAGCAGAGTGTGAAACTTGGAAAACTCTGGTCCAAGGCTGAGAGGCCCAGTTCTCAGAGTCTGTTCTCAGTTGTGAGTGGCTATGCAGTGAGCATGTTTGTTTTTTGTCATTGTAAGAACATGTTTCTCAAGTAACTGAAGAATTTCCACTGTCTGTCACACAGGAGGAGCTAGGAAGGACCATTTCCCAGCTTATCCATTCCTTTCAGACCACAGAGGCACGTGAGTACAGGTTTATGTCCATTCGGCAGTGCACTGTTCAGGTGCTGCGGGGTTGATTTCTGAGTAGAACTGCTGCTCCAGAGGGGTTCTGAGGAACAGACTGCTTCTCCCTTGTGGAGTCTAAATCACTGACGTTTGGTTAATAGCCCAACACTCAACCCACTCTACCACCAGGATCACTAGACATGAAAACCTCAGACCCAGGTTTGCTGGCCCCACTTGAGCAGGACAGCAGGGGAGAAGGTCTGAGCAGCTCCTGGGAAGCAGAGCACCTCCTCCTGCTCACTGCTGTGCGCCCATTGCTCCTGATCCCTAGTCAGTGGGTGGGGCTGGCATTTTCAGGTGTTGCTGCCCTTTGCTCCCTGGGACCCTTAGTACCCCTGTTGCGATGCCAAACCACGTGTGCTAGCACCATGTCTAGCTAAGCACATTTTTGGAACCGAGAAGCCTCGTGGGCTGCCCATGATGTCCTCTACCAGGTTTCTCACACTCTCACCTCCACATCCTGCAGTCACTTCCTGATATTCATCAGGTCTCTCTCTCTTTTAGAGCATCTGTTCCTTCAGACATTTTGGCAAACCATGAATCGAGAGTGGACAGGGATTGACAGGCTGCGCCTGGACAAGTTCTACCTGGTAAGCTCATACCTGTAGCTTCTCCAGTTCCCTCTGTTCTGAATACCCAGCACCCTGTCGTTGCCCAGCAGATAGAGCAGACCTGGCGCACTGTCTAGCAGAGGTCTGGCCTCTGAGCAGCCCTTCCCTCAACTTCCCACACAAGTGAAGGCTCCAGGGCAGTGAGGGGGCCCATCAGGCTTGGGGAAGGGACAAGATGCTTGTTAGGGATGCACTTGCCTGGGATCCTCTACCACCTGTGTGTTAGGATTACGGCACAACCAAGCATTCCTGCCTAGTTCCCAAATCTTACAGCACATACACAAACTTCCATTCAGAGAAGCAGAGTTAAAACTGGTGAGAATTGAATCATGAAGCTGACATGTCTCTGTGGAAGGTTTGTAGGCCGTTGAACCCTCACCAGCTCAACAAGGCTGTGTCTTCACTGCAAGTCAAATGGCAGGCTGACTAGATGATGGACTAGTTGAGATAATGAGGGCAGCAATGATTGATTATACTTACATTAAAGCTGTATCACATTCCTACAAATTTAGGTTAAATACTAAATTAAATGACTAAAATACGAGGAGAAAACTGAGTATTATAGACACAATAGCCTGTTTTTTTGGGCCACTTCCCTCTTTCCTGTTAAATTGCTGTCTTGTTGGGTGGCATTTACTGTGATGTGGGCAGTTCTGTAGACGAAGCCATGTGATTACTGCCAAGATTAGATGATCTGAGGGGATACCACTTGTGGCATTGCCCTGTCCTTACTGGGGACAGAGCTGTATACTGTCTCTGTACTGGGCTACGATGATGTGGACAGTGTGTGTGAGGCTGCCTTACATCAGGGACTCTGAATAGAAAGCTCAAGAAGGAAGGATATAGGGACTCTTAAGTACTTGGGATGGGGCAGGCCTAGGGATCAGGCATATGTGCTTTTAGGAAATTCAGATTTATCCAAAAGAGTCTTTAGGCAAAGTCTTTTCCCTCTTTACCTGTGAGTTTTGTTGATCTTAAGGTCAGGGCTTTCCCCCTTGTGGGATCTGTGTCTTGCCTCACTCTGTGAGGTGTGATGTGAAACTGGCTTGTAGTGCATGCCCAGGAGCAGTGCCCTGTGACCAAAGGCCCTTAGAGCCAGTATGTCCTCTGCTTCTTGTGCCTTAGTCACCTCCTTTGGGAATCTGTATAATTGTGTGAGAGGAAGAAAAACCACATGGAAAATACTTGGAACCGTTTTAAAGGGGAAATGGGGGACTTCCTACTGGGGCTGGTTTGCATCCTGAGGCTTATGGAAGAGCCTCACTGCGTGCTGGGCCAGCCAGACAGTAAACTGGGAGAGGAGTCCTGGGGTGCCTGAGAAGCCATGATGATGATAAAATCGGCTGTGCCAGGGGCTCCCTCTCCTGCCAGTTGATCCATGCACCTCCGTATCTCCTGTGGTGGGAGGCTGTGTAGTCCAGTTTGGGGTTTGTGTGCTATGCTTCATCTACTAGGGACTTACACTTTTGGAAAGTTGGGCATCTTAGCCCAGGGAGTGGAGTGTGTTTGCCAGGCCAGGCTTGGTCTGGTGTCGTGTCTGACAGCACTGGCTGGTCAACACTCTGAAAAGGCCTGCTGTGCTTGGGGCCTGAGGTTTGTGGTACAGTCCAGTTTATGCATCTGCTAACAAGAGTCTGTCTCTTTTTGTGCCATAGCTCATGCGGATGGTCCTGAATGAATCCTTCAAGGTCCTGCAGATGCGTGGCTGGGAGGAGAGGTAAGTGTGCAAGGCACAGAAACAAGGCATCTTCTTCTGGCATGGCCACCACCACTCCATCCCCCAGCCCCATGCTGCTTTCTCTGGGAGACAGAAGTCATGGTTTCTCTTCTATTTGCCTTACATTAAAGGAGGACCCTAATGTCACTTAAGTTGAAAACATTTTTAAATTATAGATGATTGCTGTATTCATGAAAATGATGCTACTGGTTTTCAGCCTTGATAAATTCTTTTTTAAAAAAAAAATTTATTATTAATTTCAATGAAAATTTACAGAGACTTTGGGTTTCCATTCATTCATTGTTGCACTTTTCACCCCTCCCAAGCCTTCCCCCTAGGACACTACCCTCTTGGAAAAGTAAAAGACAAATTCTTTCATTGTTTTACAAACTCTCCCCCAGGTCCACTCCACTATACAGCCTTCGTTCTGGACTCCTGTCATGACAAAAATACCTAATCACATATCCGTTTTAAACAGTTTTCTCCCTCATCTGTTTCAGTGCAGTACACATTATTGAACCCATCTTTCTCAGTCTCTCCTCAACCCCAAGGTCAGTCCTGTTTTACAACAGTGGCATGATGCAGTATTTGTCTTTTTGTGACTGAGATACTTCACTCAGCATAGTGTCCTCCAGGGTCACCCACTTTGAATAATACTGCATGAGTTCTTTGTTTTTCAGTGCAGCATAGTATTCCATTGTGTGAATATACCACAGCTTCTCTATCCATTCTTTTGTTGATGTGCACTTAGGTTGTTTCCAGCTCCTTGCTATTGTGAACAAAGCCACGATAAACATGGGTGTGCATATATCTGCTTGGATGTCAGTTATGGTCTCTTTGGGGTATATTCCCAGTGGTGGAATTGCTGGGTCAAATGGTATCTCTATTTGCAACTTTTTTTTTTTATTTTATTAAATTTTATTAGTTTTAATGAACATTTACAGGGATTTTGGGTTTTCATTCCTTCATTGCTGCACCATTCTCTCTACCCTCCTCCCCAGTTTGTTCTTCTTCCCCGCCATCCGAATGTCTGTTTTAATTGTCCAATTGCCACAGTGCTTGTCAAAGTCAGTTCTGATTAATCTCCTTTGTCGGTGTGTCCTTTGCCATTCCCTATCACTCCTCCCTGAAAGCCCCATACTGCCTTCCACAGTGGTTGCACCATTTTATACTCCCACCAACAGTGAATAAGGGTTCCAGTTTCTCCACAACCTCGCAAGCATTTGTTGCTTGCTGTTCTGTTAAATTTTGCTATTCTGACTGGGGTGAGATGATATCTCATAGTTGTTTTAATTTGCATCTGTCTTAGAGCTAGGGATTTTGAACATTTCTTCATGTGCTCGTTAGCCATCTGAATGTCTTCTTCGGTGAAGTGTCTGTTCATATCCTGTGCCCATTTTTCAATTGTTTATCTTGTGGTGCTCAAGTATTTTATAAATTCTGGATATAAGTCCCTTATCTGATATGTCTTTACCAAATACTTTTTCCCAGTCTGTGGCTTTCCTTTTTACCCTGTTGGAGAAGTTTTTGGATGTGCATAGGGATTTGGGTCTTTAGAAGATCCCATTCATCTGTTTTATCTTCTCCTGGTTGTAGGAGCCTTGATAATTTCTTACTGTGACTTGGAATTTGAGCCTTCTGCTTTTTTTTTTTAACACCAACAAAACCATAATGTATTCAGCAATTAATAGTTATTGCTCCCAAGTGTAGGAATATTGCTATTTACTTTCTTTAGCAACATAATAGCATTGCTTATAGTGGATAATCTTGTCCACCAGGCCAGGAGCCAGCCTTCAGTTTCTGCCTCAAATCCTATTTCATGGATTCTGAGCAGTGAGGATGCATCCTGTCCCTGCAGTGGGGCTGGCTGTACACACTGTCTAGGCATAGCAGCTCCTGGGCCCCACTCCTGTAGGACACGTAGGGAGAAAGCTCTGGGTGGGAAAGGGAAGTCCTCAGCATGGACCTGCTTCTCTGAGTCACCTGAGGCGCATGCATATCACAGCTGAGGCAGTGGGCCGGCCTCCAGACCTGCAGAGGGCACTCCGAGTTCCATACCACAGAGTGGATGTATGAGTATTTAACTTTAGAAATGTTTCACCTCACTGCCACTGAATTGATTCTGACTCAGCAACCCCATAGGCTTTAGGGCTCAATACCACCACCTCATGGGGTTTACAAGGCTGTCAATCTTTACAAAAGCCGTTCTGAGGCTCATGCAGTGGGTCTCGTAACTTAAACTCACTGCTGTTGAATTGATTCTGGCTCACAGTGACTGTCCCTCAGGTTTCCAAGGCTGTGCATCTTTAATGAGCTCTGGTAGCCCAGTGGGAAGAAGCTGCACTACAATCCCAAAGGCGTGCAGTTTGAATCCACCAGCTACTCCACTAGAGAAGGACGGGCAATCTTCTCTTCAAGGAAGAGGCTGCTCATCTTTCTCCTGCAGAATGGCTGGTGTATTTGATCCACTGACCTTTTGGCCAGCAATCCATCATGCTGTGTATTATACCACCAGGGCTCCTTATCTGGTAACTTGGGCAGAATTCATTGTTACAAAACCACTGCTGTCGAGTTGTTTCTGAGTCAGTGAGTGCATAGACGGAGATGAACTGCCGTAGAATTTTCGAGGCTGTAACTCTTAGGAGGAGGAAACTGCCTTATCTGTCTCCCACGGGGCAGCTGGTGGGCATGAACTGCTTTTTGATTACAGCCCAATGATTGCACAGCCACTGGGGCTTCTTATTCAGGATTAAAGGGACTGTTTTGTTTTCGTTAACTTTTTTTTGTTGTTCATTATTGCAAAAGTAATTCCATTCTCGTTGTTACTAACTCAGTGCAAAGATTACCTTGGAGAAATTAGTGTACTCTCTCAATGCCCTGGGGTGACCAGTGCTAATAGAGTTTTTTTTCTTTCTCACAGACCCCTCACTTGCCCTAAGGCTTTGGTGGGTTTTGAGTCCTGGGGTGAGATAACACCACTTACACCACGATTTGGCATGGGCTGCTTACACTCACATGAGGGATCTTTCTCTGGATCTTGCACCTGCACATATTTTTCCATATCACCTTTCCTGAAGCTGCATAGATCACCACTTTTCCTTCATAGAACAGAACATTCCCAAATCATGCTGAGCCCTCAAATCATCTTGGGAAGTTCTTAAAGAAAACAGATGTAGAAGTCAGGATAGAGGGATCCCTCCATGCTACTGCCTATGGGTCGTCAAAGTCATCCAGGCTGTCTCACGCTGTCCTTTGGATCTCTTGTGGGACTTGCTGACGCGCTCTTTCTCTCCTCAGTCAGAGTGAACAGCTGCTGAAGCTGCTGATGACAGAGATCATGCACCCTGACAGCCAGACTCCCCACGGGGTGAGGAGCCACTTCACCGAGATATTCCTGGAGGAATTGGCCAAAGTGGGCGCAAAGGAGGTAAGGGGACTGGGCGAGATGGGGGCAGGTTTTCCTCTTCTGTAAACTCAGGGGGCTGAGGTCAGACTGAGGCATCTGTCCACGTGGAGTTAACGATGCTGGGCTGGGCTGGGCTCACGCTCATCACCTGGTGTTCCTAAGCAGGAATGGCTTGTTCCTTCTCTCCACAGCTCACTGCTGACCAGAACCTCAAGTTCATTGACCCCTTCTGTGTAATTGCTGCCAAGACCAAGGAGTGAGTAGTGGGTGGCTCTGTCAGGCTGAGTCCTCGTTTTCATCGAGTTTAGTGTGACTGACTTTCTGTAAGGCGATGATAGGCTATGCTGATTCTCCTGGTGATAGGGATGGTAGAAGGGGTGAATGGATTAGTGTCTCTTCTGTTTGAGAGGCATTCTAACCTGCCCATTTTCTTGCCTTTCCCATCCCTTCAGTCCCCGGGATTTGCATTACATAGTTCGTGGAATCTTTGAGGCGATTGTGGAGCAGGCCCCATTTGCCATCGAAGATCTGATGAATGAGCTGGATGAACAAGGCGGGGAAGAGGAGGAGGAGGAGGAGGAGGAGAGTGACTTCGAAGACGTGGAGGAGGAGGACTCAGAGGAAGAAGAGGATGGTGAACTAGATGTGCCGAAAGGTGGGGCTCTGCAGATCAGGGGGTGACTGTGTTGCCCCACTTCCCTGCCCCACTGGCCGGTATTGGCCGAGTCAGCCTCAGTCTGACCCCTGCAGCTGCCCTGACCGGTCCCTGGGCCTGCCCTTGCTCCCAGAGCCCACTCTTCACAGCAGCCAGAGTCGGCGTTAAGTCACAGAACACACACTGTCAGTCTGTAACTCCTCTAAACTCCTCTCTGTGCTCACCTGCCACACACTTGCTCAGGGTTCCCCCAACCCTGGTGGGCTCCTGCCTGGCTCATCCTTCTCTGTCTCTGCTTTCCTGCCACTCTCAAGGGCTATCTCTTGATTCCCCATTTAAAAGTGAAACTTCTCATCTTGCTGGCTAGATCCGGTTAACTCGATGTCCTTACAGCGAACTGACGTGCTGCATAATGGCTTGTGTAGACTCCTGTGAGCGCTCTGCCGAGCCCGATCAGGCCCTACCCACAGTTGCACCAGGCCTCACTCCTTCCTCCTGACCCATCCCTCGTGCTGGGTCGCAGCTGGGCCCACCCCGTCTGGGAGCTCCCTCATCTTTCCGGGGCATGGTTATGTGGTTAAGTGTGGCTGCATCCACACTCTGGCAAGACTGTGAGTTCTGGCTCACAGGTGCTTGTGTTGGCACCCCCACCTCAGAGGCTGACCTGGGCCTGCACACACTGGGTGTAGGTCTTGGAATTTGAGGGTTTTTTTGTTCCAGGCTCCATCCATAGACGTGAACCCAGGACAGAGGAGGATCCCACGGGAGATGACGACGAGAGCGTTGGAGCTGTGCTGCAGGTGGGTGCACTGCGGCCTGCAGGACAGGGAGGGACAGCCCCAGGGGAGGGGGACTCAGAGACACCACGTAACAACAGGCTTGTCTTGGGGGAGTGTGGGTGCCCTGAACCTTTATCTACAGAAGTATAGAGACCCTGATGCCAGGGTCAAGTACCAGCAGGAGATACCTGCTTACCAGGCAGCACTGCCACCCGCAGCCTTTTAGCCCAGGCAGATTCACTCTCAATCGCACACCTCCTTTCCCTCTTCAGGTGCAGTGCTCCATTCCTCAGGGAGGGTCTGCAGCTCTAGGCGACTGAGGCATGGGAAATTGTGCGCTGATTTTACTTGTTTGGATGTGTCTCTAGACCCTGTAGTCTCACAGGCGAGGTTGTCTTCCTGGTTCTCGTACTTCTGTTGGCCAGTGCTGCCTGGAGTGCCCCTTGTACGAAGATTCCAGGGGGCAAATCCTCAGTGTGTGGGGGTAATACTGGCTGGGTGTGCTCTAGTGTGGCTGCTGGTCAATTAGCAGGGTATCTGTGCTTCCTGGGTTGGTCACTGTCATGGGGGAAGGTGACTGACTGTTCTCTCTTCTTTGAAATAGTTCAACTATGAGGCCCTTGCTAACAGACTCTTTGAAATGGCTAGTCGAAATAACACCCCTTCCCAGAACAGAAAACGTCTCTATAAAGTGGTCCGCAAGTAAGTATTTTCCAGTTGTTGCATTGTCATCCCCCAGCCTTTTGGGTCTTCTGTCCTTTGCTGGTGTTTTTGTGCTGGCTGAAGCTCCTTGGGAACGACCTTCCTGGGCTGAGACACCCAGGGTGCTCTCAGCAGAGAGCCAGGCCATAGGGCTCACCGTGGCCTCTGGAAGCTGCCTGTGGGGTCCCTGAACTTGGGGTACTGAATTCCCCCTGGTGGGAAGCGTGTCACTCCTGGGCTTCCTTTCCCCCAGACTCCTTGGCCGTGCTGACTGAGGTCTTCTCTTTTCTTCCAGGCTTCAGGACCTCACTGCAGGTGAGGATTGGACTGTGCATGTGAGCGACTACCTCCCTCAGGAGGGGTTCTGTTCTTAGAGTGTGGAGAGTCCCACATGTTCAGTTTCCAGCTCAGATGTTGTGTTTGTGAAGCAGCTTGGTGGTACAGGACAAGGGGTTGAACTCCAGAGATGCTAACCTCAGCTAAGCAGTTCTCAGCTAAGTGTGGCAGGCGCTTAGGTAGGGCTGGTCCTGGAACCCACAAAGACTGACCCTACTTGCAGGAGTTAGACTGTGGGCCATGCCGTCCTCTGCTTATGAGGAGTGTGAATGCCAGTCACTTCTCTGGGCTGATGAGGCTTGGAGTCTCCGTGAGGGAACTGAGGGTCGGTGTTTGCTATGCTGACTCTGGACTCCTTTTAACGATATTTTCCTAGGAAGTTTATAGTCGAGGATCTAAGCTTTTATTTTTACTGACTCTTTAATGACATTTTTCAAACATTCAGCAAAACTGGAAAGGATTTTATAGTGAATGTCTGTATATTCACACCTAGGTTCCATCATTAACTTCTTCCTTTCTGTTTTATCACAAGTCTACATATCCACAGACTTTTTCATTCTGAGTTTAATTGCAGACGGGCACTGTCCACTAGTGTTTTGGTGTGTGTGTCATGAGCTGGGGTCCAGTATGTTCTGGGGAAGCTTGCATACAGTGACATGCATGGTGCTAGTGTGGGTTTGCTGGATATTGAATAGTACATGCACATCTGTAAGCTCCCTGCCTGGGGACCCCTGGCAGGCCTGTGGGTTGTTGTAAGTGCTCCAGAATCCACTTTCCCAGGGTTGATGGTGCTTGTGTAGTTTGTGTGGTTTAGAGCTGATAGGCTTCAGTTGTGGGGTCTCAGCATAGTTTTGGGCACTAGAAGAGGGCTCTTTGTCACAACAAGCATGAGCAGTGCTTGCTGGATTTTGTTGGAAGTGGTAAACAAACAATGCCCTGCCCTCGAGACACCCCCGTGACCTACCTCGTTTCCCCAGGCATCTTCCCTGAGGATGACATCCCTGAAAAAGTCTATGCCTACCAGAATGAAGGGAGAGAGAAGAGGAAGATGAAGAAGCGTTTGCTCAAAGCCGAGTTGAAGAAAAAGAAAGGTAGGACCAGAGGTAAAGATGCAAAAGTGGAGTGTGTGAGGTATCACTTTGCTGTCATGTGACACTCGCCTCCCTGAAGCCTTCCCACCTTCCAAGCTGCCCTTCACACGGCCTGTCTCCTGACTGGCCTGGGCTGTGACCTATAGCTGCAGAGCCCCCTGTGGGACTTGGGGCTCTGCCCCTGCTTGTCTGGCTCTTGGGTCTTTCCAAAGCTGTCTGCTCTTACTATCCTGTCCATTTCACTGTTGCCACTTCTGGCATGCCATCTCTTCCTGACCCTTCTGTTTTCCTAATTCAAGCTCCTCCCACATACACCCTGTCCTCTTCAGTGTCTACAGGCCTTTTGGTGGCCACCATTATATTCTTGGTCACGTAAGTGGTTCAGAGTGGACCCTTCACTTGGCATCAGCGTGCTTTTTTACACAGGCCTTTGTCCACTGCAGACCTTATGGAATACAGGCTCTGGTGCAGTATGCCCTTGGTAATAAGAGGCCTGTGGCTGATTTGTGATATGAGTCTTCCCTCTGAACCCTTTAGAGGTTCAGGATTCATCTTCCTTTCCGCTAGGCCTGCCTCTCCTGCAGCAGCTATGCTCTCACACTTGGCTGGCTCTTGTGCTGGCACCATGAGGACCTCTCCAGGGCTGTCCTCAGGCTCTGAGTTAGGCAGCTAGGTTAGAACTGCTTGCCTTGACACCTGACTAGTGTCATTTGGCATGCCCTGCAGCAGGGCTGGGTACACCCAATGCCTTGCTCCCCACTCCCCTCTCCTCTCCAGCCTGTCTGTCTTCCCTGTGTCTAGAACGATTACTGATTTTGCACGTGCTTGACAGCTGATAGGACATGATGTTCCACTTGAGAACAAGATGGTGATTTGCCAAACTCTGTGCTGGTGAGCTTGGCGTTGGCTCATCTCTGCATGTCCCAAAGGCATGCCTGCCTTAGAGTGGCAAGTGCCACTGGGTTCTCTGCTGACACCTTCATTTACATAATTGAAGTGACATCTGTCTGTGTGCTCACTACCTCATTCTTACCACCTTGCTTTTTTTAACAGAGAATGAGAGAAAAGAAGACCCAATTGTAGCTTCAAGCTCCAAAATGAAGAGACGGAAGAGGAAAGGCAGGAGGACTAACCCTGATGTGCAGTCTGAGGGAGGCTCTCCACTAGAGCAGGGCAGGATCCGTCAGGGACGAGGATTTCAGCACAGGAAGAGAGGGAAGCCTGGTGCCGGGGCCAAGGTGGTTGCTGGGGCCGAGTTCCAGGAACCAAAGAAGAAGAAGCGACGGATCCGGGACAGCCAAGAGTGATGCCACCAGCTCATTCAGGGACAGACAGGAGGGGTCACCTTGTAGACAGAACACCAGCTGACACCTTTAATTATGATGAAGAGAGGTCAGGGGCAAGAAGGGACTGTGCCCTCCTGGAGGGCCTGTGTCCTGGAAAGCCAGTCTTTCCCTGATACAGCCACAGGCCACAGCTGTGATGGCCTCTCTGGGCTTCCAGTTTCCCTGGCAGGCTGCCAGTCCTGTGAGTGACGTGCCTGGGGGGACCTGTAAATAGAATACAAGCAGATCTCAAAAAGAAGATTGGTTCTGATGTATTTATGTAGAAGGAATTCTACCAGTGTGAAATGACAGATGGAGATTCCTGAACTGCGTTTATATTTGATACCTGTTTTTGTGGGAGATATGTATCTAAAAGAAACCTGGGAAAAGATTGGTGTTAACAATCAAGTTGTCCAGGCAGGGCCATGTTTCTGAACTTGTGCTCAGATTTCAGATTTTTACAGTGAATTTACTTTTGTAATAAAATATGTGTGTATACTTTTTATAATGGCATTTGTTATAACCCAGGGACACAGGGTTGGGGGCCAATGAAAAGGATTTAGGAGGTGGTCCACCTGGGTAAGTGTGAGCTTTCTAGTTATCACAATGGAAAAGCAAACCAAATTAATATATTTTATTTAGCCTCATATTTCAATATGTACTAATAGAAAAAAAACTATTTTTGTCTTTTTACCCCAAGTCTTTCAAATCCAGTCTTCCCTATACAGTACATGTCAACACTAATGCAGAATTCTTATTAAAAATACTTGATCTTTATTTCTTGTTGTGTACCATCAAGTTGGCTTTGGCCACTTTGAATCAGTCAGTTACTTGATATACTATGTCGGGAATGAAGAACAGAGTGAAAATAGTGCTGCATTCGTGTTAAAATGACAACTTCAAGTTCTTTCCTGAAGTATAATGTGACTGGTAGAATATTATCCATACGCATATAAGGAAGACCTGTTAATAAAACTCTTGTTCAAACACATGCACTAAGAGCAAAAGCTGAAGAGGATGAAACAGAAGATTTATCAAGTTTTGCAGTCTGAAATTGACCAAACATGCCATCAAGATGTGTTTTTGATGAAACATTTTTAAAAAAGATATGTTAATGATCATTGGTGATCAGAATGCAAGAGTTGGAAACAATGAAGAAGGGCATAGTCAGCAAGTATTGACTTGGGTTCAGAAATGAGACTGGACTTAGACTGAATTTTGTAATTTAGTGATTTACTCATTGCAAATACCTTTTTTAAAAAAACCACAAATGGCGACTTTACATGTAACTAGATGGGCTGTGCAGGAATCAGAATGACTACATCTGTGCAAGGATTTGTTGCAGTCAAAACCAGACCGGGTGCTGACAGGAAAGCAGACCATCAAGTACTGATATGTGAGTTCAAATTGAAGAAAAATAAGTCCATGAGAACAAAAAATCTTGAGTCTATCCCACATGAAATTAAAAACCATCTTAAGGATAGGTTTGACGCATTGAAGACCAGAAGAGCTGTGGGATGACATTAAAGAAATCACCCAGAAAAAAAAAAGAAATCACCCATAAAGAGCAAAAGGTCTGTGCTGCAATCCCAAAGTCATGCAGTTCAAATCCACCAGATGCTTCGCTGGAGAAGGAGGGTACTCTGTACCAGTCACATCTGGTACAACAACAACAAAACAGAAAAAAGAGAAAACCAAAATGGATGTCAGAAGAGACCTTGAAAATTGCACTAGCTCACCAAGAAGCTAAAATGGAAGAGAGAAAAGCTGAACAGGTTTCAAAAGGCAGCTTGAGCTTTTACAGCCTGGTTACGGCACTATGGCCCCCACAAAGAAGGGTGGTGAGAAGAAGAAAGTTTGTTCTGCCATCAGTGAAGTGACCAGAGAGCACACCATCAGCATTCACAAGCACATCCATGGAGTAGGGTTTAAGAAGTGTGTTCCTTGGGCACTAAAGGACCAGAAATTTGCCATGAAGGAGATGGAAACACCAGATGTCACACTGACACCAGGCTTAACAACGCCATCTGGGCCAAAGGAATAAAGAATGTCTCATACCACATCCATGTACAGTTGTCCAGAAAACTTAATGAGGATGAAGATTCCCCAAACAAGGTGTATACATTGGTTACCTATTTACCTGTCACCACTTTAAAAAATCAATAGTCAATGTGAATGAAAACTAATAGCTGATTATCAAATTTCTAAAACTGTCAAAAAGCAGCTTGGGAAGACAAAGCAAATTATGACAGAATGGTCAGAGACTAGAATTGGAGAATAAAAAGGGAAGAACTTGCTGAACATTTCTCGAGCAGGAAGAACTGAAAAACAAATTCAAGCCTTAAGGATGCTACAGCAAAATCTTGAATGATCTGGAAACAAAAAGATGAAGAAATACATAGGATCACTGTGCAAAAAAGAATTGGCTGATATTGAAATGTTTTCAGAAAGTACCATGTGATCAAGGACCAATGGTATGAAGAAGTTCAAGTGGTGGTGAAGGCACTGATTGACAAAAAGTAAGGCCCCGGGAGTTGACGGGATGCCAATTGACATGTTTCAAGTGACAGATGCAGTCCTGGGCATGTTCATCAGCCTATGCCAGAAAATTGAGGAGCAGTGATGTCAGTGTGCCTGATTGAGGCCGTGATCTTTTCAGTCACTTGCTATGATGGACAGTGAATAAGGCTGACAGAGAATAGGAATTGATGCCTTTGAGTAGTGTTGGTGAAGAACACTGAACATCCCATGGACTGCCAAAAGAGCAAACATGTTTTGGTGAAGGTGCAGCCAGAGTGCTTCTTGGAGGCAAAGATGATGTTTTGTCTCACATACTTTGGGCTTGTTGCTGGGAGTGGTTATTTCTTGGAGAAGGACTTCATGCTAGGTAGGGTGGCAGAACGGCAAAAGAGAGGAAGACCCTCAACAAGGTGGATTGATGGTAACTGCAGTATGGGCTTGAGTGTGTCAGAGATTGTGAGGATGGCACAGGACAGGATTCAGAAGTCATAGGATTGCTATGAGCCTTCTTCAACCCCAACAACAAACAGCAACCATCAAGTCAGAACCGACTTGTAACAGGTTTTCAGCCACAGTAAATCACACAGGAAGAGATTGCTCATCTTTTCTCATAGTGAACTGATGGACTTGAACTGTAGTCCTTTGGATTGGCAGTGCAACTCCTTACCACTAAGCCATGAGAGATCCCTATGATCTTTATTTGGAATTTATTAAATATGTAGTTGAAAAAGTAGAATCACATATTCTTTTGTTGCATGCATAATTGAAAGCTTCCTAGTAACGAGTGAATAGATATTTTTAAATTTAATTTTAAAAATTCACCTCAGTTGTACCTGCCACATTTCAAGTACTCAAGTAGCTCTGTGAGACTTTTGAAGCATTGATAAGAAAAAAACCAGGCAGGCAGGCCTGCCACTGCCAAAGGGTCCCCAGGCCACGGGAGGCCTAATTAGAAAGCAGGTATCTCCTGTAGCAGCCCTGGAAGGAGCCCAGGTTCCTCTCTAGGGCCACAGTCTTGAGGGGTGAACCCTGGTCTCCCTAGTCTGCTGCAGTCCACCCAGCCACTCCAGAGTTTTAATTGAAGGTATTGCCAACGTTCACAGAATTGAAGTGACGAACTGAAGCCTGGAGTGGAGACAGATGTAGGAACCAAAAGGTTAAGTCCTGGGAAGAGGGCGCCAGCTGGGGCCTTAAATGTGAGGGACACTGCCGGCACTGGAATCATCCTCACGTCGCCTTCTCACAGCGCGGTGCAGTTTGTGCCCTTGTCCCACAGTGGCCAGGCCCTGGGTACAGTGCCATCATTCACTCCTGGAGCAGGGTGTCCTGTGACTTCCTCGCAGGGAATTTGTGGCTCCTGGCCACTCACCCAGAAGCGCAGGAACTCTGCAGCCAACCTGCCTGCAGACCAAAGGTGGCACGAGGGAGGGAGGAAGGAGCTGGGCTGCAGCCCAGTCCTGATCCTGCGGCAGCCACCTGCACTCACCTCAGGAGTGACCATGCCCTTGAGTTCCACGGTTCATGTAACATAGTCCTATACAAATCAGATTCACACAGGTTACCCCTGAGCACTGCTGTTCTCTAGGATTATTAACTTTGTGGTCATTAAGTCCTTGGATGTTGGCCAATTGTGTCTGACCTCTATACTCTGGCCTGCCCCTGAGGGAGGAAGTTTCCACAGCCAACCCCAGTTCCCATGCAGGCAAAGGCCAGAAACTTCTCCACCGAGGGAGAAATCAGTCATCAGCTCCTGACCCAGACATGGGCTCTGCCCTGAGACACCTCCCTGGATGGTGACTTCCTGGCATGCTCAGGGTGTGACCTCCCCTCCCCTTCCCCAAGTTCTATACAAAGGTGACATGTTATATTTGCTGACTCAAGTGCTGTCCTGCCAGCCTTCTCCATGGCAAAAGCCACTCTTTCATAATTGATGAGAATCTTGAGGTGCTGCATAACATAATCTCCAGGCTCATATCTGACTTCCAGGTCATTCACTAATTTACTGGGTCATAGTGGCTGTGGTGTCCTGTAGTACTCGATGGCTGCTTTGTTCCTTTTAATACTCAGATTGCCACAGTTTGCAAGCAGGAGGCTTGTTAAACTGCCCTTTCTCCATCTCCTCTCCTGCAGTGTACAGCCTCTGAAAACCCAGTAAAGGGTCAGCAGTGAATCAGTTTTGACACGATGACAATGAGTCTTGACAGTTTTCTGTTCTCTTACTGTGTCTCTGTTGTTCCAGTAGTGTGTCCTTGCATTTGGCCCAATTGATGTTCCAGGTCCATCTTGTACTCTTGCTATCACAGATTTGGGGCCAGCTCTGTCATTCAAGGAGTCCTTCGTCCTCATTATGTAGGAGAGGTGAGAGGATAGACTGGGGTTTTTGTTTTTAGCAAACAACAATTTAAAAAGGTTTATTAGTAAGGCAGAGGCATAGCTAGTAAAAGGTAGGCCACACATAAGAG